TTTAAAGGTAAATATCATGCATAAAATATGCTAAATGTACAATTAATGTTATGAGAATATTTTTGTTGAAATGAATGGTCGGATGATAGGGTCTCTTTAATGGTCTATCAGCTGAGCCAAATCACTGGATCAGTTATCAATATTCTGCTTTTTTATCTTTCTAGAATCAGAGAGGGCTGACAGTTGGCGGTCCCCCATCCTGCCCTGCAACTAATAGGCATCATAAGAGCCTTCAGAGCTGTTGTGTTTTGTGATCCACAATTCTAAATGTGTTAGACATTTAGAATGGTGAAGAACACTGCCTATGCAGATGAGGTAACACATGGACTTGCAGCTTGTTTGAGATAAGATGGAACCTGCTGCACTAGCACTGTACACTCAGGAAGGTGCAGCCATCAAATATTCAACAATTCTATATTATTCATATGGCTTCTACTTGACCCTATACAGTTGACAATTATTAGGGTATCATAGATGCAGAGCCACATTCAGAGCTCATCTACACATGAGAGTTTATTTGGCTAATAGAAAGGTATTTATTGTCCCCTGTAATACACTGGGCCTGATATACAAAGTCTAAAACTCATTCCCCTGGCTGGCAGTTTATGAGGTTCTGCCGGATAGCGGGCTGTGTGAAGATGCTGGAAAAAAAGAGTCTTGTCAGAAAGCCAGAGCCAGAGTTTGAGTGTCGCCGTCTGCGCATGCGCAGGCGCCTGTTGTGGACCATAGAGCCATAATAGGAGCAGCGTCATGCGCGTGTTTGTGCGCACGGGCACGCACCGACGTGTCATCTGAACAATTGGCGCCAACTGGGCTATAAAGGCTGTGTTCAGCTATCCTCCTATGCTGTCAGATCGTCAGCTTCCTGTGTTCTGTGTTCCTGTGTTTTCTGTATCCTGATTACCCGTTACTGACCCGGCTTGGACTACCCTCTGTTGTTGTTTGCTCCCTGAAGACCCCGGCTTGTTTTTGACCTTGATTCTGCCTTACCCCTTGTACTACTTTGCCAGCTCATTGATGACCTCGGCCTGCTTGACGATCCTTCTGCCTTGTGTGTTCTGCTTCCAGCTTCCTCAGCTCATCGGATCTAAAGCCTTCTGGATCCTCGTCGCTGCATCCGCATCCTACTTCCTGCCCGGATCTACCCACTTCATCTCATCTCACAAGCGCAACAGGCTAACCAGCCTCTGGCACCCTCGCCCCTCTGTGCCCTGGCGCCCCTGTAACCAATCCAGGTGCTCCGGGACCGGAGCTGTGAGAGAGGCCGCCCTCGTCAACTCAGACTCCCCTAAGGTAGGTGACAAGTCTTTGCACACACTCAGGATCAAACATACTCTTCATCAGCATATGTGCATTTACAGGTTTATGTTCCACTGGGTTCATCCATATGCAAGTCTCTGGGGTTTGATGTTGAACATCTCTTCAGTAACTTTACCATTATTATTACTACAACTGGGCAATACATTTGCTTGCTAGAAGGAGATTGTCCATGTTACTGTGCATGTGCAACAAACACAAAGGCAGGGCTTAATGAGACCCCACCAGCACCACTGAATTCAGGAGCCTAGTAAAAAGGACCATGAGATTTCACTTGAGAGCACGGAAATTTGTCAAAAAGGGTTAAATCTGTTACTGCCAAGAGATTAAAACCTCACATGGTGTTAAGTCCCTACACGTGATTGCTATAAGATGCATTTTAATACTGAGTCAACTTTGTATTGTATGTTGCCTTTTAAGCATGCAGAGCTAAAACACAGACAAGTAGTCTCACAATTGCCCAGACTCTAGTGCATTTGGTAGGACATTTCTACAGGATCATTGATTACTATTATGAATGCAATGAAACTATGACAAACATTAAAATGTTTGGTATTGCATTTATAATTGCGGCACTGAATGAAAGGTATTGTTCACTCTAAACATTCACTACAGATGGTGGCAGGCTCCCTAAATATCTGTAAATAGAAAGGACACATGAGAAAATTCTAACTAAATTTACTTATATGTGGAAATGGTAGAAAACAAATATTAGAATAGCAATGTCATTAAAATGCATGCTTTACATAAATCACTAAGAAACATGGCATTGACAAATCTTATTGTTATTTTGTGCTAAAGCACTTCTTTTTTCTACCCTAACACTGCAAGGTTTAACTGCTCGTTTTGCTCTGGGGGCCAGAAAAAAGAAGCTATACCTACCTGATCCTCGGTCCTGCGATGTTGAGTGTTCATCTCTTCCCCCCCTCACTCGGGCTGTGGTATGCCCCCTCAGCATCCTCACGTCTAATACAGGTGAATGGAATGTATAAGATGTGATGAAGTCAGCGGGGCTTGGACTGCCAGCGTCTGAGGGAGAAGGGGCTGCGGGGACAGCTCTAGTAGCTAGGACCGGTCTAGAAGCTAGGCAGGATCAAGGATCAGGTAACAAGCAGTTAAGGAGGTAGCAAAGGTCAAATTTGTAGATTTCTGAGATTCCTCTTTAACATTATATAGAAAGCTCAACAATAATGAGCAAATCATTATCATATGTGGCTACCTCCATATTCATCTATTTTTACAAGCTATACACAGAAACATGTTTTTTCAAAGCATTAATAGGTTCTAATAATATTGTTTCCTGCTGCTATGTATATTTTTAAAAGTTGTAGTTACCCTTTAAAGGTAAACCTATTGGAAATCCATATTTCACACTATAAAACTGGTTTATAGTGGTCCAAACAAACCAATACCCTCTGCCAAGAAAACAGTTTTTGATGCTGCCAATTCAACACTAGTATTGGTGAATGATAGTATTTCTAGGTCAGTAGTTCTCAATGTATGCCCCCCCTTTGGAAGCTGTTTGAATTTACGATTCCCTCCAACCCACCAGGGCTTCATTTACTGTTTATAGGGTCCAGACAACCTGTTGTTGCACCCAAAGCTTTGCAAGAGCAACCCATCCTATAAAAGGCAAGTGTGCCATGGTGGTGTGAGGTGGGTGAAAAAGAAACAATTACCACTCACTTTGTAGATGTTTCCTGTTATTTCCTGTTGTGTCTCTGGAATTTGAAGTGAAATCTACTCGATGGGACACAGCCAGCCAAAAAAACTGACAAAGGCCTTACATATTTTCCTATACTATCCAAAAGTTTTAATAAAGAGACTTTACAATTACTTTAAGTAAGATTAGTGTTAGGTTTACAAAGATGGTTAGTGTTAGGGATAGAAGGACGCTTAATGTTATGGCCAAAGTTAGAGTTGAGGTGACATGGAACCTAAGGGTTACAGGGATGATTGGTGTTAGGATTATCAGGATAGTGGTAGGGGTATAGGGGTAAGGTAACAGGGAGAGTTAGTGTTACAGTTACAGGAAAGGATAGGATTACAGGGGTTAGTTTTAGGTTTACAGGAGCAGTACAGCTACAGGGAGATAAATAATACAGTTACAAAGAAAATTAGGGTTATGGAGAGGGTTAGTGTTAGGGTTACACGGAGAGTTAGTGTTACAGTTATAGGAAAGGATAGGGTTACAGGGGTTAGTTTTAGGGTTACAGGGAGAGTTAGTGTTACAGGTATAGGAAAGGAAGGGTTACTGGGGTTTGTTTTAGGGTTACAGGGAGCATTATGGCTACAGGGAGGGTAATAATACAGTTACAGGGAAAGTTAGAGCTAGAGGAAGTTGTAGGCCCATTTCACACAGGCGGTCCGATGGAGTCCACCTGTCAGTTTTTCAGGCGGACCCGATCTGATGCCTAATGTAAGCCTATAGGCAGCAATGTATAAATGGACAGGTGTCAATTTACACCCAGGTACCCCCACCTCCGGTAGGGTCCGGAAAAACAGACGGATTAGAGACTCCATACTGCTGTGATCAGGAGAGGATCCGTGCACGTGGTCAGCCCATGTGAAAGGGGCCTTAGTGTTACAATTACAGGGAAAATTAGGGTTACAGGGAGGCTTTGTTTTACAGTTACAGGGATGATTAGGGTTACTGGGTGTGTTAGAGTTGAAGATAGTGGCAAGGCTAGGGTTACAGAGTGAGCTAGTTTTAGAGTTAGAGTAAAGGTTAGTCATAGCATTATGGTTAGTGCTAGCCTCATAGGGAGGGTTAGTGTTAAGGGTTACAGGGAGAGTTAATGTTACAATTACAGGGAAAATTAGGGTTACAGGGAAGCTTAGTTTTACAGGTACAGGGAAGATTAGGGTTACTTGGTGGGTTAGTGTTGGGGTTACAAGGAGGGTTTGTGTTACAGTTACAGGGAAAGTTAAGTTTGCAGGGAGGGTTAGGGTTGAAGATGCAGACAAGGCTAGGGTTACAGAGTGAGTTAGTTGTAGAGTTACAGGAAATGTTAGTGATAGTGTTATGGTTAGTGTTAGCCTTAAAGGTAGGGTTAGTGTTAGGGTTACAGGTTAGTTTTACAGGTACAGGGAAGATTAGGGTTACTTGGTGGGTTAGTGTTGGGGTTACAAGATAGGTTTACAGGCCGGGTTAGGGTTGAAGATACAGACAAGACTAAGGTTACAGGGTGAGTTAGTTTTAGAGTTACAGGAAAGGTTAGGGATAGCGTTATGGTTAGTGTTAACCTTATAGGGGGATAGTGTTAGGGTTACAGGGAGGGTTAGTGTTACAAGGAGTGTTAGCATTAGGGTTACAGGAATGGTTATGATTTCAGGTAAAATTAATGGGGTAAAGGGGGCCTTCAGGTAGGTGATTGCTCTGCACACCAAAAAGTAACAACTCAGATCCTCCAGTACTGAAAGCAAATTTACTGCATCCCTAAATTATCATCTAGCAAACAAATAGAAGAATGCATTCAACTGTCAGTGTTAAGCTTCCTTTAGCAATAATGACTATAATTAAAATATGAAAATACATAAAAGTCAAATAGATATGTGTCTGTGCAGATATGCGTCCTCATAAATATGTATTACCGAAAGCTGTCAGTAACTCACATACAGTACATTTTTGGTTTACATTTACTGATTTTCCAAGGAAATGTTCACAAGTAAAAAATTCCTACCTTGTTAAAGTGTGTGCGGAAGTCCATCGCCTTCCCGCAGCTGTCCACCATTCCGCTCACATTGTTGGCAGTAAGGATGTCATTCACTCCATACGTGTGCAGCACAGCATGGGTAAAATTTTGCTCTATAGTCAGATTATGCATTCCCTCAGAGTGAGCCATCCCCAGCCACACAGCCACAACCAAGGCAAGGGAAAGCCAGGCATTTAAAGAGTGTCCACAATGACTCATATTACAGTAACAAATCTGCTCACTGATGTAAACTAAATTATTAGGTCAGCCCCCACAGCCAGGTTGATGCCTAATCATACAAAGCTGGCTGGACTGGTTACTGACAATAAAGAGTGTATATATACAGTAATACCAGGTGATAAAACTGGATAAACTGCTAGCATTGGCTGGCTATTTCTCTGCTGCTCTCTCCCTGTGCATACAATGCTATGGCTCCCTGTTGACAGCACTGTGTGCCTGTTAGTATCTGTACTTCCACGTGGTCTCTCAGTTGTTTCACTGTCCACTGTTTACTCAGCTAGTTTTTGGACAGGAGCTCCCTCCAGATACTAGATGGTACAAGCTCTCGCCTTCAGACCCTGCAAGAGATAAGAAAATAGACACTTTGTTTCACTTGTGGTGAACATTCAGCCAAGTTACACATTTAAACAAATAAATTAAAAAAAACTTTTCGCTTCACAAATGCTGTAACATTCCAAAGTTAAATGACATAATATTGTTTTAGCAACAAACCACTAAAAAAGGCAAACTTAAGAATCTTTTCCAGACCCATTCATTGAATCTTTTTTTCTTTTCTTTTCTTTCACAGACCTGTGTGTACAGTTTGTTCTTTTCTCAATTTCACTTCTTGTCCAATGGGGATTTGCTTTCTTTTGACTACTTCAGATATTGCCTGGCATCATGTAACCAGTAAATAGAAGCATGCCAAATTCTTCTGGCTCTGGTCTCTTCAAATGGGTTATTGTTAGTAGAACCCGGCATCATAAAGGCAATGTTTCCTCTTTTTTTTTTCTTATTTAACACAGAAATTCTAAAGTAAATAATACTACTGTAAGGTTGTTGCCTTACACATAGAAACGTAATCCTAGAAACTATCTAGAGAGCTTTACAATTGTAGAACTCTTCTTGTATGCGTGAAAGTTGTATTTATTTTTATTAAATAACTATATTACTAAGATTATGTGATTATGTAAATGCGCAATAGCTGAATAGTTTTGAAAACAGTCTAATAAGCTGCTTTGCAGTGCTTTGCTGGATAATGACTGAAATGTATTGCCATGAAAGAGACTTATAAAAAAAAATAATACGTGCATATGCAGCAATTAACCACTTACATTAAATATCATGTTTTCACTAGTCTATCAATGTCCATGTTTATATTGTAACGTGAGAAATTGATTGTGGATGGAGCCATGTATTAAAGTGGATCTCTGGCTCTGTCTCACAAAAGTAACAATTTGCAGATATATGGACCATACAGCCTTCTGACAACTATTGATAAAACACGTATACATATATAAATAGTGTGGAATTCTAAATAAAAGGCACCTAAACTGCCGATTTCCCAGGACTTGAATAAAAGCTATATAATTTAGACTCTGGTAGGGGATGATGTACAAAGATTAGGTGCATCATGTTCACTGTTTAAAAGGATTGGAAACCCCAGATATATAGGAACATATTTGAAAATAAATCTCATGAGATTTAAAATACTGCCCACTATTGTCAAAAATATTGCAGACGCCTCATGAAGTACGTACTGTAATGTTGATAGCTCATTAAAAATAAATGAGCTACATAACCGGCACTGCACCTCAACACACAAAAAACATTCATGTTACACACACAAAGGTGTAAATGGGCCCTCATTTTAAATAAAACAGATGCATTTAGAGCCAATGAAATCAAAATTCAATGTAGTTTTGACACCTTGAATGTTCTAACTAATGTTCTGAATGAGCACGTGTACTGTGTAAGGCAATGTACAATGTACATTTGCTATGCTATATAGATAAGTAACATGTCATGTCTCACCTGTTCCTTTGTCATTGCTTACCTGTCTCTGTGAGCTGATTTATAAAAAGACAAGGCCAATCACGTGACTTTCACTTTGGTTTGCTAATTGACATAAAAGGTATCTTGTAAAGTAAACTGCAGAGATATGTAAATTGCTAGTGACGTGAACATACACTATTGTATTCCACTCCTCCAGAAGTTGAAGTAAGCTCGACTAACTGCCTGAATTTACATGTCTCAGCACATTTCGGAAAGTGAGTGAAATGTCATAGCTTTTGTCTTTCCTGGTTAATTTGCAAGCACAGTCTTGCAATCCATACAATCATATCAGTATTTGCACTCTTCTTCCTCTAGTTTTGGATCAATCTGTCTGTAAGCTAAAGAGTCTACAGAGCGTTTTTCATTGAACAGCATTGTTCACACATTTGCACTTTCACCCAGTGTGTTTGAATCCACATCTTTTTGTGCATGTTTTCATGTGTGTTTATGTGTGTTATCAACAATTCTGCACTTTCATGCACTGCTATTGTCATCCATAGGCCCTATGACATGAGCTGAAGCATTAAAAACATACAAAGCACATCAATGCTGTTTGGCTGTTCGTGCGGCTGTTTTAGAAAATAATGGCACCCACATCGCGACCGTCTCTGCTGGGCGATGCCATGACCGTGCGGCAATCCGCATGGAATCATACACGATTGCCACAAAGTCAGGAGTCGCCTAGGTGTGCACCGCCCTCAGAAATACTACTTCTTCCCTTGTGAGAGGAAGGGGAGGGCTCTCAAATCTCAACACTTGAGTGTTGGTTGATCTACACAGTGATTACCAGTGGCGGAACTACCGCCGGTGCAGCCGGTGCGAGCACACCAGGGCCTAGGGGGGCCCAGCACCGGATCGATACCCAGCGGCCAGCGGGCCCCCCATCTCTGCGCCGAGAGTGTCGGATCATCCGTTCATCCGACACTCCCGGTGCAGAGATGGGGGGCCTGCCGGCCACCGGATTCTGATGGTTGCCATGGCGATAGAATGCTGAGCC